GAAGATCATATCAATCAGAAAGAAAATATACTAAAAGATTTTATTAGCATTGTGTGCTTTGGATGAATTGGAAGAATTTATTTCTCAATAGCAGGCCTGGCTGGAAGAACTTACTTCTCAGAGATAATTTTCTTTGGAACATTCCTTTTATTTTTGTAACTAATACTTCTCAGAACTGAGAGTTGACATTTGTTAATTCATTACCCTTCTCTTCTCATGGTATGCGAGTTCTGACTGCAGATAATTCCTAGGCAATTGTCTTAAATGTTCACTGAATTCTTCATCTATGTGCCAGAACAAATTTGTCATACTCTTTCAATCCTTATTTTTCTGAGCACCGTCTAGAAGTTTCACAAGTAAGAACCCAGGCCTTCTTCTGTCAAAATCAATAAAAAAGCATTAATAGGTTTCTCTTGAAAAGAGTAAGAAATCATGTTGAATATACTGTGTGAGTATATGTTTAAAACAAGGACTTTTGCTTTCCCTATAATTTCTTTTCTTCCTGGTGGGCATAGATACTCTGTTTATAGTCTAGGGATATCTCTCACCCTGGTCATAGACAACTAAATATTTCTCAGAGGGCGGGGGATCCCTCCATGCCAAAACCATGCCTGAGTGGAGTAAAGCACAATGTATCTTAAGCATATCTGAGTAGGTTAGCGGCCAGATTAATTAAACATGTAACTACAAACAAAGGAAGAGGAGCATCTTTAAATCTCCCTGTCCAATTCTATCCCTAAAAATGAGACAGAGGACAAAGGTGGTACTGAAGGGTGCATTGGATCCCCTTGGAAGATCGGGAAATGTCCAGGTAATGCCCTTTCCAGCATCCTTAAATATTCAAACCAGGAGAGCTGTAATAGATCACAGCCAAGTTATGCTAACATAAAATAAAAATTCAGAAAGGCAGATCCTGCCACCTCTCCTGAGAATATAAGAAGAAAAGTTTCTGCTGTAACAGAGAACTTACCTGTAGCCATTTTTACAGAGTAGGCAAGTTTGCAGGAAATTGGAGGAGGCTTTGGCAGTGCAGGTAGGCAGCAGCCTGTTAAAACAATGCTGTCTGTCCTCAATAACCAGTTGATAGAACTAGCAACAAAGAAGTGAAGGCCTTTCAGAGCTGTGCTGCCACAATCCTAATAAGTTGCAATTGCAGGTTTTCCAGAACTCTTCGGGTTCAAGACTGACAGATGCAGGAAAGGCAGAGGCATCCCTTTATCAGCAAGACATTTTACACCAAGCTGGCTAGCAGAGGCTATTTTTCCTTCTTCTGCAAAACACCAGTTTTACTTTGAGATGTTTTAAGTGATGCTCTTTCCTCCGAGTCACATTTATAATACGGCTTGGATTTCTAAAATGTATGCTTCTACAATGCAAGATCTGTATTAAAGTAAGTCAAGGAAGCTTTCTATTACTTTAATCCTCTAAAACACCTCTGTAAGGTAGACTTTGCATCATTAATCCACCTCTGAGAAGCAGAAGCTACAAAGGACACAGAAGCATCAGGAACCGAGTCTAGGGGAATTTTTAAAAAAGCAGGTTTCCTTTTGTTGAGAGAGAGTTGTACATTAAACTCATTTAGCATTCTACAGGAAAAAAAGTTTTATGGCTGAGAATGTATTTTTAAGCATACTACATCTTTCCTGTAAACTCGGTTCTTTACCATGTGCAATTTCTATTCTCATCAATAACAGTGACCAGAAACCATTTTCTATCAGCCCAGAATGCCTGACTTTCCATATGATCCCAGCAGGTGATCCCTGCATCGGGGCAGAACTTCCAGAGGTGGAATTTGTGGGCCAGGGGTTGGAAATGATCCCTGCATGGCCACTTACAGTCCCCCACTTGTATGGTAGGGGACCCTCTTACTATCTATCCAGATTAGTAAGATGAGTTTGGAGAGGATTCATATGACCCCCACCCCCAACAAAGTGATTGCTGCATCCAGAGCAGAACTTCCTGCATTGGAACTTCCAGGGATGGGACCAAACCACCTGTTCCATTTGAATAAGGAGCAGGACTTGGAGTGTTTGATGTGAAGCAGCATTTTGCACTACTCAGGTGAGTGCTGTGCCAGTGAATGATGGGAAATGAACCACTAGTAAGACCTCTCCCTGTCACCTCAGATGGATGGCGTCCTTAAGAGTCAGATCAATGGCACTGGTGAGAAGAATGTACACCTTCCAAAAGCACCAGGGCAAGGACCATACTAGGTTGCCCAGCCCCTCTGGTCCCTCTTCCAGGACAGCAGGGGGGTGCATTGCTGGTGGGAGCGTGGTGGCAACAGGGGCCCTGCGGCAAAGCAGACAAACTGAAAATGAAGGCTTTTATGCGGCTGGAGCTTCACAGCAAGTGGGAAAGAAATTAGGGCAATCTAGGTCCAGCAGCACCATTTTAGATTCCATCAACCAAAGTATAGCTTGAAATCATGGGAAGTTGTAGCTCCATTTTACTCCATGTTACAGACCTCACCCTGTATACTGTGTCAAAATTTGGACACTGCACTTAAAGAAAGACTAAAGGGTCCACGTACCAGTGCTCACATCTCTTCTGAAATCACATTTTTTAGCCTTCTGAACATTTATTGCAAACCTACTAGTCTAACAAGATTTCATTTAGAGATCAACAGCCATACGTTGTGGTATGACCTTGCTTCAGTTTTCCTCAGCCTGGTCTCCCTTTGGCCATGTTGACAAAAGGCTGATAGAAGTTGGAGTTCAATGCATTTGAAGGGCATCGTGTTGAGAAAATCTGTCTTTCTTCATGCAAAACTGTCTGCCTTTTTCCCATTTGTGAAGCCTCTTCCTTGTTTCCTTTGTTCCGACACCTGACCTGTCTTTCTCCAGAACTCCTAGCAAACTCTTCTTCATATATGTGTATCCTGTATGCCCCTTCTGCCATATGTTATCACTGAAAACACTTAGCCTAGTGGCTGATACATAAAGAAAGAAAGAAAGAAAGAAAGAAAGAAAGAAAGAAAGAAAGAAAATCAAGGGTATAGTACTGAGAGAAAAGCACAGATATCATTCAGCTTACTCAAACTGTATACATCTTGCGAGAGAACCCGAAAGCCTGTTTTCAGTTGTTCCCTATGGCAAGTCCATTTTCTCAAAAGCTTTGTTTTGGTTGCTTGATCTCTGAAATACATTACTTGGTACATCCTGAACAGCAGTGCCTAATGTAATGGCAAGTGTTCCATAAGTCAAGTTCAGAATGAGACAGGGCAACTCTAAAGCCCTTGTGCACCTTGGCATGTTTTGCCACTGGTTTGTTGAGTTCACAAGCAGGCCCTGGTGCAACACAAGGAAGGATCATGCGCATCTCGATGCCATTCCATTGCAGCGCAGAATATAAAACAGAAACCCAAATGCACCCTTGGTTCCTCAGCACAGCACTGCACACAATTGGATACTTTTTCTTTTATACAAGGGATCTTCAAAAAGTTCCCCACTTTTTTATTTTATATTTAATATATTTTGCTGATGGCGTTAAAAAGCTGGTAATTTGTTTTTTAACTTCTTAATAAATAGAGCTTTAAAAAGTGGGGAAACTTTCTGAAGAACCCTCATATCTGAGGATATATTGCTTTTTCCCCTTTGCCTTCTTCTCCCCCATCTTGCCACCAAAGATGGAAAAATGAAATGGTGAAGCTATTTTATGAGTTCTTCCAATTTAGTGCTGCAAAAATTCGCTCACCGCATTTCAAGGGAAGCATTTAATCTGAACCTGGTGCCATGATGGAATGCTCAAGCAGCCCATTCAATGTCAAAATAGTCATTACAAGTGTCAAAGAAGCCCTAAATCGATGTGCGAATTAGTCCTTGACTATCTGTCGATGGAGAATGAACTTTGAAATATTCAGAAAACTCATTCGTTTGCACATTTGCATGACCTGTTTCTAACAACGTGTGCAGCACTCTTGGCATTAAAGCCTTTTCCTTCGTGATTTGCCTCTGGGAGAGGATCCAGTCAATAGATTGCGTGCACAATTGTCACTTACGGAATTAAACACTCTTCATCAGTTTCCTAGGTAATGATTGCTCAGTGACATGCCACACCACACTGGACAACATCAATTACAACATCCTTCCACATCATTTAATTTACCACCCTGCCAGTTTGAGGCATGGAGCCTAATCTGAAAGACAGTGCATCACCAGCGTCAAAATATGATGCAAACAAGCATTGTTTCTCAACATTTCATCGATTAAAATCCATGTAAGAATATATATGGCTGGAACATTCTGTGGACTGGCATCCCAACCCTGAGAAAGAGGCTCCAATCTAGCTCAAAAGATTGAAAATGGAGCTGCCTTTAGATTGCAATTGTGAATGAACAGACATTTCTGGAAGCAACTTTTTTATTGGATGGAAAACAACCTGTTGGTAAGCACGAGAAGATCAGTTTTAAGAAAATACATCTTTATGTCATCATTTGATACCACTGAAGCGCATTTCCTCCACTGTCTCTGAAAGCAGGCCACCAAGCCCACCTGGGCTATTGTACAAAACTCTGCGAGCACGCACCAAGCAAAGGAGAATGGAGCTAGACCAACTGCAAAAGAAATGGCACGAATGCTGCTTCTTCACTTTAAAGAAATCTGCTGAATACTTCTTATAAAGCCAGAAATTGTACAGAATCCAGAATTAAAAATAAAATCTGAGCACTGGCAATAAGACTATAAGGATGCAATCTTATGCATGTTTAAAAAGGAAAAACTCGCAGCACACCTGCCAGTATTTTGCTCTCACAGTTGACAAAGATATGCCTCTGGGAAGTCCACAAGCAGGACAAGCACAGAACTTCACCCTCCTGCTCATGTTCCCCAGCAACTAGCATACTCGAGGTAGTTTTTAATCACTATGACTAGCAGTCATTTTCCGGGAATTTTTCTAATTCCATTTTAAAACTATCCAAGTTGGCAGCCGTCACTGTATCTTTATGTACCAAATTTAGTAACTTTATGCATAAAGTACTTGCTTTGTCTTTCCTAATTCTCCCATTTTTAGCTCCACTGGATCATTGCAGATCATAGTATTGTTAGAACTATTCCTTTGTGCACCTTTATCATGCCCTCTCCTTACTCTCTTTTGTAAGCTAAATAAAACTATGCAGTCTTTCTTCACAAGAGAGCTGGCCTCTTAATCATTTTTACTGTCATTTCCTGAAGGATTTTGAAAAATATTTATCTAAAACATCTTTTTGAGGTATGAAAACCAGAATTATACAAAGTATTCCAAGTGTGTTCATGCCAGGGATTTGAATAAGGCCTTTATGATCTTCTCACTTTATCCTAACGATCTCTAACATGCATCTCGACTTTTTTCACAGAAGCTGCAGACTAGGATGACATTCTCATGGAGCTATCCACCATAATTCCAAGATCTCTTTCCTAATTAATCCAATAAGTGAAATTGAGATTTTTTGCTGCAGGGTGAATTATTTTGCACTTGCTTACTGAACCACATTTTTTATTTCTATGCCCATTCCTTGAGATATCCTTTTGGTGCTGTTTCCTGTAATTTTACCCAAAAATGCATAAAAAGTGTATAGAAAAACTATCATTTTAACTGTATTTGCATGACTGCAGCTGTGCAAGGGTAGGAATTTGAAGCCTTGTTTGGGAGAATGCATAGGGGTTGCCTGCTGCCAAGGGGCAGCAGGTATCAACCCTGGACATTGCCCAAAAAATCTCCAAAATATTTTCCCAGAGATGTACACAAAGATATCTCAGTCAAAAACATCCATCTCTCACTAAAAAATCCCGTTTTTAAAGAGAGCCGGATTTTGACAGCTAACTACTTTTCCTCTAGAATCAGTGGGGAGAATGGACTTTTGCACTTTCTTGTGCCTTTAGTCAGGACATAGTGTTAAACATATACGCAGAAGGAACTAAAGTGGAGGGACAAACATGAAGTTGCTGCTAGGAGGGTGCATATCACCCCAAAGATTCTTTATGCCTTTGTTTTTTTTCTTTGCAGTTTGCCTTCCAACAGCTGTCAAGAAAAACCAAGATGGGAGACTGTACTTGGAGTCCCTTCTGGACAATATCCAGGGCTGGCACCCACTGCCTTTGGCAGCAGACTCCCACCAGGCATTGTCCCAGTGAAGGCTTCAAATCCCTGAAATTGCACAAATTGCACAGCAGTTGAATTAAATATTTTTTTCTGCAGAAATTGCATAAAAAAGAAAAATAGCTGAGCTTTTCTATTATTGTGATTTAATAGTAACCCTCAAGGCTTTTGGACAGATTTGCCCCTCTTGGCTTTACTTTTCCATTTCCTTTTCAGCAGCTCCCTCATTGTAGAAATGTTAATTCTTTGTCTCATGATCAAGCAGAGCATTTTGGTCACATTTTGGCCAAGGAATGACAGTATCTCCCCAGTACTAAATTACTTTGGAGACCTCATATTCTCACCCATGGTGATTCTGTTGAGAAGTTTATAAAGAAAAAAACACAGAGATGTATAATTCTAGGAGACTGGACTCATGGAAAGAGCTGTTCTGAGGTTTGTATTGAAAACTATATAAATACACATAAGAACACTTTAATAATCCAACAGAAAGTACAAAATATTTAAAGGTACAGAAGAAACCGTTTCAGCTCATCTGGTAACAGAAGTTCACTTATCCTCTGTTGCTGTTTGAATCCCATGTACCTCCGTATATTCAGACGGCATAACTGCATCAAGGAGAGAGGCCCTGAAGGGAAAAATAGCAAAGAAATAAGCAAGTAATTATTGACTTAGTATCAGTTTTCCACAGGACTCAAACTTCTGAATAACAAGGCCACCTTTTATCTTCTGTAGCCCAGAGTAGCTACATTTAAACAAAACAGCTTTGAGGTCTCGGCTCTCCCAAGGCCTCTGAAAGCTTCAAAGCACACCAACCTTGGAAATTCTTCTGTTCAGCCATCCTAATCTGGACATATTGTTGAAGCGCAAAATCATAATTCTTTGTGACAAGTGGACAAAACACAGTATAAAAATATTAGGGAGGGCAAACAAGGATATCAGATTTCCGCCAAGTTCTGGTGTATATTTTACTGCTATAGGTTCACTGTCCTGCAGGGCTATAGGGTAGAATAAAAATGTAATATATAAATATAACTCAATTATAAAAGCTATTGCTACATGGCCATTAACTCTGAAAAAACAACACCATAAACGCCTGTAATGTGCCACCAAAGGACTGACCTCTCATTTGTATCAGTCGTTGCAGTTTCTCTGCCCTGACACAAAGTAGATCAGAGCCATTCCTAATGGCAAGGTAGAGCCTGGCCGACACATTCCACTTCGCACACAAAACATGCACAACCCATATTGTAACAGGCTTCAAGCAGAGAGCAGGAGCACCGCACTAAGCGGGCCAGGGGCTTTTCTACAGGAGACTTTTAATGTGCCATAAGCTTCTGAATCTGGATTCTATGCCCGATTAAGATAGGTTCCTTTAGACATATTTCCAAGGATTTTCTTTTTCTATATTTCTGTGTGGTTCATTATATAGCCACTAGGGGTTATTGTGGTGTAGCAGAATTGCAAATACAGGAGGGTTTCATGCTGCCATTTCCAATAATACCAGATTACACCCCACCTCCCAAAAAGCCACAGAGATGGTTGCAAAGAACAGGAGATGCCCTGGAGGATGATACTCTTTGACAAGTAAAGCACCCACAAAATAACATAAGTGAAGATTCACAAGAGCATAATGCATGTATCAAGTAGAAAGGCTTTCCATGATTCATGCATACCTATTGCTACAGAGAAGGCCAAATCCATTTCTGTGGGCACTGTCCAGCATACATGGGGGAAATTGCTTTCCCAAATTCAAATATTACATCTACTCTGATTGTGACCATTCTGAATCTTTCCAAAGAAAATCGGAAAGATACCAACATCATACCTATTGATATTGCACACTTCAAGTGTCCAAATGGTTTAACATACATTATTTCCATAATTATGGACAGCATCCAACAATGCTGCTGAGTTAGCAGGAATTACAAAGGGAAGCTAGTCAAAACTTGCACTTCCAGAATGGGAATGTTTAGTGAGCCGCCCCAAGGCTTCGGTGAATGGGGCAGCATAGAAATTTTCTAAATAAATAAGTCAGTCAGTCAGTCAGTGAAGCTCACAGAAAGGAGCTCTATTTGACTTGTCTCATGCCAGTAACAGTCATTATAGCTAGTTTCCTGGGTTGAGCCGGCCCTACTCTGTGTTAGTGGTCATTTCTGCTAGCTGAACATGTTGTCAGCTCTGGATACTGCCCAAGAACTGCAACTCAGCATCATCCTATATCCAACTGCAGCAGTTTCTGAAACCCCCTAAACTAATCCATTCCCAGGATCCTATATAGAAACTGATGGCTTACTTATAAGGGCTTGATTAATGCATTTTATGTCCGTTTAGAGAAAAGTCAAAATGGTCATGCTGAAGTCTAAAACCTCATTAGATTGAACTTAACTGATCACAGAGACTCATATCCACTATTTCTCTCAGTTGCATTATTTTTGGGGCTAACCATGAGATGATTTTTTAAAAATAAGGTATGTCTTAAAAAGGCTTTAACATCCTTTTGTCAGTGAGATCTGCATTTATGGCCTACAAAGCATTTGACAAGACTATAATAATACAGAGAAAGCAAGGGCTAAGCTATATATACAATATTTTATTTATGTTTGGGGGATTGAATGATACATTGATGTAACAGCACTGGCTAAAATAATCAATGCCACAAAACAAACGTATATAGCAATCAGTGGATCATGTCATATATGACGTGTACACTATTGCAAAAAAAACCCAAACTGTTACATACATCATTTGCAACATGTGCACCATAATGTATGAAAATCGTTCATGTATATTTTGGTGGTGTACATTTGTTGGGAATAAGTATATACCATCTGGGAACCCACTACCAATGAGTACACACCCAGAAAAAAACATTCACATATATGAGGATGTATCTTACTGGAGGTAAAGGAAGTTTTTCTTCTTCTTAGCACATTCCCACTGAATCCATATGTCCATCATATTACCAAATCTATAGTTTTATGCATGGATAGTAATGATATTAATCACAGAGGCTTCAGAGTTAGGAGAGCACATAGTTCCACCTCCTTCCAAGATCGAGATTCCACACAGATGCACTTGGATGTGTATTAGTCTCCATGTGAATTCCCATAGTCTGTTATAACTTCAAGCCCACACTGAGGCATTGGTGGTCATAACCAAGTGGTGATATTTGCAAGGAGAGTTATTTTAACTCACTATAACAAGCACTGGCATTGGCAGTTAACAATGTGAATGGAGGGAAAAAACAGTCCTTGCAAAGTTTGCTTCTGATTCTTTACATGCTTTGATTTTGAATGAAACAAAGGTTAATGGGCACCTTCTCTCTGCAGAAATATTTGCTGTAGTCTGCTGTTTGGTGGAGCCAGCTCTGTTGGTTTTTTGCCCTCAGCATTCAAGGCCCGAGTGTTTGCTCCAAAGTCAATAAGCAATTGCACCATGTCAGCATTGGAGGTTTGAGCAGCCACGTGGAGAGGGGAATCCAGACTTTTCCCACTATTTGCACTTGCACCTGAAACAAAGAATACAAAATAAAACAAACATGAACTGGATGTTCCCCATCATCTTTGTTATCTCCTGCCCACTTGTATAATCTGTGTCACTTTAAGGATCATTTCAGAATCACACACAGTGCTTCCAGACAGAGGACTCCAACTGCTACCATTAGAAGGCCTTGCTCAGCAATTCTGATTTTCCTTGAATGGGTTTTCCAAGGTAATGAAAAGGATCAAAGAAGCAGTGGGAAAACACAGAAGGTTCTAGGTCGAAAATTATTATGTTTATGAGTGGATTCCCCCCCCCACCTCTTCCCACACACAAATTCAGTGAATGTTGCAGGGTCCTGATACAATAATGACCTCATCTGGAAGCATCCACAATCTCTTCCTATAGGGATTAATTAGTTTGATATACATTTGATCTGAAATGGCTTCAAGTCTGTTTACATGCTGAGATGTGCAACAAGGTATTTTGGAAAATGAACTTGTGAGAAAGGATGCCAACAAAGAATGCTGAACCTCTTTACATGCACCAGTTCCCATGATTCTTTGCAGGAAGCCATGAAAGTTAAATAATTTTCAAACTAGGCTTTAACTTTATAAAATTTTAAATTTATAAAATAGATGATCTCAAAGCATTGTGGCTTTAAGCAACAGTCTATATTCAGATAAGATGAGCAGAATCTAGAACTAAGTAAACAAACAAAATCTGCCACCCACTGTAGGTATTCTTGGATGGATCTCTGAAGGCTAAAGTAGGCTCCATTTGCAAATCATCGGTTAATTAACCCAATTTGCTGCAGCACATGCACACCACCACCCTTCTAGAAATGTGACTTCTGACCTCTTAAGCCCAAGTAAACCTAATACCCAATTGTAGGCTTACTTCAGGTGTGATTAACCCATGAACAACCCATGGTGTCCACAGCAACTCTGGTAGGACCAACCAGAGGTTTCATTTTGAGGATGGAGGAGCCATGAAACCCCAGCAAACAGTAGGTTAATTATGTGCAAATGGAATCCATTGTGCAGCTGATCCTCACCTGATTCTAGGGTCCAGATCTAGACTGGGACCACCACACACACAGGGGAAACTGAGGAATGGGGAAAATAGGAAAGATGTGAGCCTCTCTTGCCCATGGGGTGGTTCTATCTTCTCACCTTATAGTAAAAAGAAAACGGTGAGAGGAAGATGAGGAACTTTTGCACACTGATCATTTAATGTGTTCCACTGTGGAATTTACTGGACAAGTTTAACCTGGTTCAGGGCTCCAGCGAAGCATGGGTTTGGGCTCCTGCCAAATCAAGACACTCACTGGACTTTAACTGGGCGTGAGATGCTCTGCTTGGCAAGTGTACCCAGACAATCTCCTTTGCAGAATTTCTCATCACTCACAAGACAGTACAGATTTCACTATAAGGCAAAGGGGTGTTCCTAGTAGATCAAAAGGAACCCATAATGCTGTCTAACTAGCACGAGGAATAGTACATTCTGTACTGCTGAGCATGTCAAGAGAAGGAACAAATTGGGTGGTCAAGGCTGAGAAAGGACATAATGTTGATGGTGTTGTATGTGCATGCCCCATGAAGAAGATATCCTTATTAATTCCACTAGCTGTGGTATGAGTAGTTACATAAGGATCTGTTAATACATTACAAACTCGTCACGAGGAATTCTTACATCATGGTGTTTTCTCTCTATGGTATTATTTATTTGCATGGCTGCAAGCAAGGGGAGGACTGGCTTCAACATGGCCTAGAAAAACCTGTGGAAAGATATTGTGTGAAGTGCCTTCTGTAAAGGAAATTTAGCAGGAATGCAGGGAAGGAGGTTAGATTGTCCAGCCTCAGACTGCCAGTTGGAGATTCCCCATTTGGAAAAATACTAGCAAGGCTCCTGTGCCACCCTCAATGCTAACCCATTTCTCTACCCGCATCAGTTCCCCCCACCCATTCAACCAACATTCTGCGACCACTGAGCATGCTCAGTTGTGGTTGTATAGGACGTGTTCCCCAATATAGTTTTAAATTTTCCAAATAATTGTACTACTTGGCAGCCTTGGGGTTTTCCCAAGCTTGTCAATATTTCCCTTTTAGCTACATAGATATTTCTCTTTTAGCTACATAAAATAAAATAAAATAAAATAAAATAAAATAAAATAAAATAAAGGACCCATTTTAAAAAATTACCTGACTCAAGTAATATTTTGGCACAGTCCACCTGTTGGTTCTCACATGCAACATAGAGTGGAGTACCAAGATGCTTTATGTTGTGATCTATATTGACTCCATGGGATATGAGGGATTCCACACACTTGGTATGACCTTTAAAGGATTACAGACTGTTGAAAAATCAAATTGAAACCCACACACATGCTGAACAATGGCATGATTTTTTTCAAGTCAACATTAGAGTTAAACTTTGATCTGAGATCATGCATACCACACTCAAAAAGATCTGCTGAAGAGGTGCAGAAACAAATTACATTCCACACACAAAAAACTCACAAAGCTTTTGGGGTTAAACAAACAGGCAGGCATATTTCCATTAGATCTAATTCTATTAAATGTTTAATTGTATAAGATTTTAATGCTGCAGGCCACCTTGAATCCCAGTACTGGAAATAAGCAGAATAGAAACATCATTATCCCATATATGTACTATATAGGCCTATATTATATAGGCATATATTCAATAAAATATAACTATATTGCATGTAAAGAATCAATTACATGTGGTATGTTTTTATACCACTATTTTCTTTTCCAGGCATCCCTACATAAAACAAACCATGATCCTGCTCTTAAAAAGTCATTAGATAGAGGCTGCATTGACCTATAACATTAAAATATGGTTTAGAATTATGAAAATGTTGTTCTTCCCCTGGCTTGAATGTTTTTCTTTCCCCTTCTCCTCCAGCTTAGGTATGCAGTGAAAATTGGATCCACTTCCATTTTAGATAAACCATAGTTTAGTATGCCTCCAAACACAAATTTAATTAGAGTTGTGAAAATAAGCCATCTTTGCAAACTATGGTTTGAAGATAGCTTCCCCTATAGTTAATTATAGATGGTTGGGTTCAGATAATGGAGCAGTCAAAACTGGTGGCAAACACTTCTGAATTCCTACTTGTGGCTACACTGGCGAGTGGGGACTACAAGTGAGAAACGTGAAGGATGGAAGTCTATGGAAGTCTAGACTCCGGTCGTTTGCATTTCATTTCATTGATTAATGGACTGTATTTCTTTAACACCTTCCTAAGACCAACCAAGATGGTTTAGCATCATGGTTTAGCATTTAGAACATAAAAACATGGTCAAATAAAAACATGGTAAAATATTAAAAACAGCACTAAAAAGCTAACAACAATTTTAAAAGTCAAATTAAAAAAGTGTGACTTCATTCTCTTCCTCAAATGAGAGAGAGCGGGGACTCATTGCAACTCCCTGAGATGAACACAGGAGACAGTCCAACAAATACATCCAAACTAGACCACATTAGCCTGGGATGCAGAAAAAAGAGACATGAATTCCAAATAGCAAGAAGCTCTCGGTGCCCTATGTCTGATCTTAAGATACACCGGATAAGAATTATGAAGTTCAGTGTAAACTGAGAAGTGCAATAAAAATGATAAATGTTAATCTTGGTATCTATCCTTGGACAGAGAGAAAGAGCTTATGCTAAAATATGCTACTGTTTGGGATCCACAAACATAGAGATTCCAAGGATTTTGAGAAAAACAATGGAAATAACATGAATGCATTAACTACTGCCAATTTCTTGCTTCTCTTATCAATGTGAAATAAAGCCACACCTGCTGACAGGTTTACCTCTCTTAGCAGCTTCATGGATAGGTGATGCCAAGTCAGAGGCTGCATGAGGACTAGCTCCATGTTGCAGCAAGAGGTTCAGGCAGTCTATGCTGCCACTGACACAAGCATTGAACAAAGGCGTATTCCAGTCAATAGTGGTTGTGTTTACCTGAAAGGAAGAGAACCAGCAATGTACTTTAAGTTTTGTCATTGTTGTTTTAAGTGGTGGAACATTTTAATAGAAGACAATGGACATTCTATAAAATATTTATCAGTCACCATTTCACTAGCATAAGTGATATAATACTTCAGCCAATAAAAAAACGAGCAGATTAGTTTAAATTTAGGACAAGCTAGAACCTTGGCCCTGTTTTGGGGCTAAGATTCTGTCCTGAGAAAGTAGTTAAAGAGTGCTGCTGAAGATGATCAGTGCTCACAATTCAGAAATCAGACTGTTTCCACACACCTCTGACTTCTTATACAATGCATTTATTGTGCACTCATGATTCCTCACCTACAGAAACGTTCAGATACTTCACATGACATCATCCCCTCTAGTGCCTCTCCCATTCATTTCTGTGGAGTTTTTAGAATGAGGGAAGTGTGGTACTATTTAGCCAGCATGTGTTTTCACAATTCCTCTCGAACACATCCCCACCTTGTGGTTGTATAATGGTGAAAGAAATGTGGTGAAAGAAAACTGGAGCAGTTGGGCATGATGTGTAAAGGAGCCAATTTTAATGCTTCAAAGCATTACTGAGGGAAGCAGAACCCTCAGTAAAGTAATAGGTTCAAATCTTCAAGCAGAGAAGCCCCTAAGATCCTAGAGCATGGATTTCAAATAGATTTAAGTCCTTGGCACCGCTCCTTCTAGAAATGGAATCGCTCCCACCAACTAAGTAGAACATTACATATACTATATGTAATTCCAGAATATTCACTCATATGTGATTCATCTCTGCCCTGTTGGAAAACAAGGCTGTTTTAAAATGAAATGTCAGATAGGTTTACAATGCTGGAAAAGGTCATTAGCATTGCTCACTTCCTTGAGCTTTTAGAGCCCCCCCTTGGCAAGCTAGTTTTTTACCTGTCTGCACCAAAATCTTGGACATCTTTCAATACTTACATGGGCCCCATGTTTTAGTAAAACACTGGCACAAGCTGAATGTCCCCCTAGGCAGGCTTCATGGAGAGGAGAGACACAATCTGCTGTCATAAGATTCACATTTGTACCCTGGTAATAATAGAAATTATAATTAGGGGCTGATCCAGGCAATGCTTTACAAATCTGATATATTTTGTATTCTTAAAGCTGTGGATCCACCAATAAGATTATTTATTATTGATTTAAAATACTGCTATTTCACTCTTCATTATCAAATCATAATTAGGAAATCTAATCATCACTTTGTTCGCCCCATTAAAGTGAAAGGCTGCTATGATGATCGGGTCACATTTTGGTTCATTCAAAAGGTTATTCCAAAACTGAAATTGCTCATATATGTATTTTTTCAACAATGTTATCTGTGCAGGATACAGATGCAGTTTCCTATAACATTGTGCCTTTGGAACTGCATGTACTTGTTGGAGGATATAAAGCACGTGTGTGTTTCTAACCAGATTTGCTCCTTTTGTTAACACCCTATTTATGAAATGGAAAATAAGAAGAGGTAGACGCTAATAATTCGGTTTAACTTACTAAGGAGCAATCCCATTGAATTCAGCTAGAGTAATGTATGAGTAAACATGCCTAGGATTGCACTACACAATACATTTATACCTGTTTTCTGAAATAAAGTTGGTGGAATGTTTGTGCTGACTGGAACAATGGGGGAAGCCCTTCTTGGAAAATGATGTGTCTTTTCAAAGGCTTGAAATATTTCAGGTTCCATCAGGAGTATGCAAGCAATTTTGAGGTAAGACAGTCTCATTTTCCTCTGAGAAAATATACATATGGGAACTTCATGCTGCTAATCTGGGACTATCACTCATACAAACGTGTATGTGCTCCTTTTTCTTAAAGGATTGAAACTATTTAAGAATTATCCTATGATAACCAGGATCAGGCATTTTGGGGACAATCCCTTTTCAAAATATTTCTGGTACACTTGCATTGACACTGCAGCACAGCATCTGAAATAGTTGCCAGCTAGAGTACCTTTAGCCCAACTGAGCCATTGCTTTTCTGTAGTTAGTGATAAGTGGAATGAAAACCAAGGTTCCATAATGCTATTCAGGACTAGGATTTATTGAAAAAAATCATTATGGCCCATTCATTCACATTTCCTTGTCAATTTAGAAGACAATGCCATTCATTCTTCTCTACCTTCCTATGTTTGCCCATCATTCCTCCTGACCTGTTGCTTAAGGTGGAATATCCTTTAAGAAAAGAAGCAGCTGAGCAGATGCACATTTTATTTGATGGTGTGGGCAGGAAAGCATTGAATGGGAGCAGCTGAGAGGAGCTTTCCTTGGGAAAGGTTGATGGACGCTGGAGATGTGCCTCCTTCCCTGACTGCTTGCCATGTATTTCCTGCTGCAGAGCCATGCTCTGCAGCTGCTTCCTGCTCTTCAAAACATTAGCAGCCACATCACTGATGGTTTCGTTTGCCAATTTATTTCTGAAACAAGTTTTGCACCAGAACTGAAATTTTCTGCCATTCCAGTCTCCTCCCCCCCACCCCATCCCCCTGTGAGCTGCACTTCCTTGACAGCCAAAATGCAGAGTGGGGGAAGCAGGGAAGATCTACCCTGGATGAGTGTGAGCCTCCATATTTGCAGCCTGAGTTGTGTGGAGCAAAGAGTTACCAAGGGGAGAGGTGGGAAATCTGCTCAGTCCCTTTAGAAGAAAACTTGGCGTGATTTTCTTTGAACTTTCCAAAGCAAAATTTGCAGCCACTTAATTGTGCTACTTTACTCTTTGCATTATTGAAATCAAAAGTGTACAAACCTCCTAAGATTCATATGCATATTTGCACTGTTTAGTCTGTGGGTACAATATGCACTTTTCCCTATGAGTACAGAAAATGAACGAAAGACTGGACTGCAAGTCCTTGGAATTTGCACAACCTGGGAGAACCCAAAATCTGTGGGCCGGATTCATAGAAAGCCAGGGTCTTTTGAATCCATTGGGGACTTGTCCAACCTCTGTGGCTAAGGCCTTCTTCTTATAAAACCGGGAAGTGGGCATCTGCTTAGCCTGCTCTCAGCACCTTTCAAGCAGCCATGTTTTTGGGAAAGCATGAAGGAAGTCAGAACATGTGTGCCATATTTCTATGCTAAGGAATTCTAAAATGTTGTGCTTCCATATTTATCTATCTATCTATCTATCTATCTATCTATCTATCTATCTATCTATCTCAGAAAGGCAGCAAATGTAGGAGAGTTACACTCACTAATGCACATGTCCAAGAGGTAGGAAGGGTACTGCAGTACAGAACAAATGGCAGAGGGATGGACCAGGACATATACCAAAACACAGTCTGTTGTGGATCAATCTCTTCATGTGGCTGCAAAAACCTACAGTGGCCAAAAGAAGGGACTGATGCAGACTGTGGGCTACTAAACTGCAGGTAACAAAACCTCGTAAAGATAGTGCCCACCCAGACAAGGGCTCCATTGAAAAACTCACAATATACCCGGAATTGCATCCAGCAATGCCATTTGCTATGTCCAGGTTCCTTCTATAATCACCACTCGCAAGTGAATTCCATCCAGCAAAGGTTCTTCCTGATGCCGACTGAAAACTCCCTGTTTGCAGCTGCAGCCTGCTGTATTGCTTCCCACCGATCTGGGCTTGGAAGATCAGTGATAAATTGTGCTGGAAAAACCTCTCTGAGTTGCCCCCGTGTCCATTTCTTTTCTCTGGGAGTGGCAAGGCTTTGATTACTGATTTCCTTTTATTATCGGATTTTTTTTGTTTCTTTCCTTTAATTATTGGCTCTTTTGTGTTTTTCAATGCAGTTTCACCATTAAAAATGAAAATGAGAGGAAATGCCTCCCCACCCATGCAGGAAGAGGAATGTCCATTGTGGAAATCCAAGGGGCAAGAGAAGCTTATCATCAGCCCCGATCACTGATTATCAGCCCAGATCAAAAAGAAATAAAAGGGGCATAACTTGGAAAAGGGAAATATTCCATTTAAAGGCACATGGACCCTTAAAGGCTTTAATAATGTTTGCCTTCCCACACTAAACAGGCCGGTGCTGAAATTACATTTTATTGCAACAGATCAAAGCAGACTACACTGCAGCCTGCTTTGTTTTCAGGGACACTGCTGCGTCAGTATTTATTTCAATGCAAGTGCTATGATGTGGGCTGTATGAATACCGAGCAGCACATTCTGTGGCATACACTGATGCCTAATGTTAGAATGACAAGGGAAGCAGGAACCATTTCCAAGATCCTATGGGCCATTTCTGGGAAAACCCTTTTCTCAGGTAAACACCTGTGCATTTGTGCAAAGGTTTAGCTGCGTGGAGTTGTTTTGTCAGTAGTTTCACTCTGGTCTCTTATGGTGATCTAACAGATTGACATGGTCAAAGATCCTTGGACTCACACACGTACTCACACACAAATGCATCAGATTCCCTTTCCAGCATCCTTTCTTCCTCCTCTTCTTTCTCTCTTTCTATACCTTGCTTTCCTTTACTGTAGCATGGAAGGAGCAGGAGCTATACTGGCTTTTAATCCATTCCCTTTTCTAGAAATCCACTGTTTGTTCTCTTCCCCACATTCAGCAAAAAGCATTCTCCAACCTCTCCACCAAACCAACAGGAAAGCTAGTGCCCCCTCTGCCATGATTCCCTAATTGCCATGTCTCAAGCATTCTTCTTTCCGCTTCCCAACGGGACTTACTTCCAAGTGGACATGTAAATGTCAGCTTCCTAGTAATTTTTCAGAGGAGCCAGTGGAGAGAAGGGATATATGGGAAGATTTGAACAGGTATTCCACACTTCTTTCCTTCAAAGACTGATTTAAACTGTCACACCAAACTACCGTCACAGATATTACAGCAATCGTGCACATTTGCACAGCTATGCAGGTGCAGTTCTTTGCCAAATTTAAAGAAACAGTCTGTTTAGCTCTGTAAATATGCATTTTGGAAACAAGAGGCTGGAAAATGACACATTGAGGCAGAAACAGTCAGATAACGGAGAAAGAACTCCTATTTCTAGGCCATAGAGCCACTCCTCGCCTGCCTGAAGTGAAATGCAGAAGTGAGGGAGACAAACTGCCACGTGGTTCTGCAAGGGGAGGCCTCCTTTCTGTTAGCAGTCATAGTAACGCATCGCATGTCGCGTGTCAGCAACCCATTTGTTGCAGTGAGTGGGGCAAATGACCAGTGCAGTTCGATCTGGGGGAAAAAACATGGAAAGACTATTCAAAAATCTCTGGAACGCAATGGGAAAAAATATCCACTGTTTATGTGGATATTTCTAAAAGGGAACCCAGGGTGGCAATTCCAGAGAGAAGTATTAATAGGGAAGCACCCCTTATCTCATGTCCTTCCTTTTGTCTTCAATGCAACCCCCTTAATGGGATGCATGCAGAGTCTTCTGTCACATGTTTGTAAGTCATACTTTTCCAGCTTGGACATTCAGGAGCATTCAGAATGTCTCTGTGAAATGTTCCCCTTGTTGGCAGTGGATCTAACCAGCATTCTCCCCACACGGAGCAGACAGTATAGCCTCTTCCTTCTGCAGCTCCACTTTTCGCTCAACTCAGGCAACAATGTTTGCCTCTTAGACTGGACGCTGCACGGCATGAGGTGAAAGTACAAGCTAACCCTTGCGACCTTACCACATCATTGGAGTGCACCTTCAGGAAAAAGTTTCATGAAGAAGGCTAACAGAATGCTGACCTCTGTAATATTGCAATACCTGATTGATGAGCTTCTTCAGAGCAAGGAGCCGCCCATGAACAGAAGCATCATGTAAAGGAGACCAGTCAGAAACAAAATCTGCATGAAGAGGAAAATAAGTTGGGGAAGAAGAAGGCAATTAAATGACATTATCTACACTTGTTGCTTTGAAAAGTCGTTCAATAAATCTCCCACTGACTAAAAGGGCTCCCAAAGGTTCTGGATCTCTGTGTGCCTTCATTCCTGCATCCATAAACAAAAGTAATTGTGTGTTATTACCTGTCCTGTCAACCTTATCTCAGGCCAATGAAATTCAAGAAAAAGCTAAAATGTCACACAGAAGGTGACAGCTAAATATTTTAAAGTAATTCTTAACACAGTCTGCCAAGGTTGGCCTTCCCATGAGACACAATGGGGTAGCTGCCTCAGGCAGCTGACTGCACCTATCATGAAAGGCCAAGCAAGATTTAAGTATTTAATATCTCACGCTTGCATTTTCGCTCCCTGGAAGAGGTGTTTGTGGGATTTTCTGCCTCAGGTGATAAAAAAGAACTTGGGCAGCCTCAGGTAGGGGTGCACTTTGACTTGGGGTGGGTGTTACTTGCTGTTCTGCCTCATGCAGCAAAATCTCCTGCTGTCTGTTTCCCTTTGTCTGCCTTTTGCCGTGCTGCTTTTATATCTAGGTCATTTAGGGTTTCCCCACAACACACAGACTTGGAATCAACATGTGAAAAAGGCACAATCCAAGCAAACTCCCAATATTTCCATTTAAAAAGTGGAATTAAATCAGGGGAACTTAAAACATGCTTAATTTGGACAGATTTCACCCATGGCTTTAATGTGCACATGGGAGGATATGGAGACAACCCTCCAGTTCTTGTGCTCTTTAACATCAGAGATAAACTCTTGAACATGAGGTAGTGCCAGGTGAATTAGTCCTGGTGAGTAGCCCTCTCCCCATAACATAGTCTATCCACCACATTAAAAAAAAGTGTGGGTAAAAATACCAAAAAAAATGCATGGGTAAATGAAACCCTTTCTGGTCCTTCCTCTGCAAAAACTCTTATCCATACCCATAACATATTTCAGCCTAACTCTTGCCATCATCTCCTCTCTGGCCTTCTTTTATCTCAGCTTGGTCCTCTCATCTCTGTCCTGTACTCTGCTTCAAAATCTATTGAATCCAGTGAGCTTATGGTCACTGCGATTATGTGACAATTTTCTTAAACCCCTCCTGCCCACTCCTGCATCCAGCATACAGTTCCAAACCTGCATGGCCCTGGGTCCCCATCTTTCCCATTATATCATGATGCATGGAGGCCTGTGTTCTTACTTCTGTCAGCTACACAGCCCTACACTATCTGAAGCGTTCCCACCCTTCAAATGCCCTTTTCCTCCCTCACTGCCCTTTATACTTGGAATTTACTCCCAGAACCTATGCATGATGTCACTTTCTTTTACTTTATTCAGATCCCTCTTCAATACCCCCCTTTCTCACAAACCACTTCATATAACCCTCTACTTGCCCTGTCCTGCTACCTGGAGCCCTCCAGATATTCTACAAACAACCCCCAGCATTTCCAAGCATTAGTCATCCTGGCTGAGGCTGATAGGAGTTGGCATTCACATCTGGTTGTGGAAGACTGCCTTAGTATTACTCCACCTGTAACTAAACCTAAGCAAATGCAATTAAAATGTAGTGCATGCTGTTCCCTTGTGTATCCCTGCCTCCCTTTTCCCTGTCACTTCCCCCTATATTCAAGCTTTAGATAGTAATTTCCTAGCATGCACACTGTAAACTCTCCAAAGCACTGATGGCGCTCTATGTAATAATAATTGAAACATGTCGTACTGAAATTCATATGATAGTGGCTGGCTTTCTGCTCAGTTTTATGAGAAAGATGAAACAATGTCCTACCCATCTGCTTCAGGAAACTTCATTTTCCATGTTTTGTCAGAGATAATTAACCGAAGATAATTAACCAAAGATAAATACAAATCAGCAATAAGGACTCATTGGAAATACCAATCAGCAAAGCTTATAGTATTGCCCCAATTTTTTCCCCTGGGAAAGAATTAAAATAACTTCATCACTTGTTCCTTCAACCATTTACTTTTCAAACATATACTTTTCCTGAACCATGGATTAATCCGGATGATCCTTAATCTATTAAGGCTAAAATGGTTAAGATGGTTATCATCTTAAAAGGGCAATCAACCTAAGCAATCTTCCGACCAGTTCAACATATTGTTATTTATTTATATTTAAAACTTTTCTATACCATCCCATTACAGATGTCTTCGGATGGTTTACAATGGATGGTTTTTCATATTTGTAGTCTATGTATAAATCTTCATTTTCAGCACTACATCAGGGAACATCAAATTGATGTTTGTTTTAATTAAGACTGACTTTGCATTCAAATCTAATTAATTGCTACAGGTATCATCAACTAACCTATGCCTAGAGCTACATCTAACCACATGGGGAAGAACACGTCACCTTCATTTCCAGCATAGAAACAACAGTGCTGAGAGGATATCAGTTAGGGACAAGGGACTTGTCAATAGTCCATTGTTACATACGGTTGAGGGGCCCAGGCCATCACCTTTACTCCTTCCTCAAAGTGGTCCTTCAGAAAAGTAGATCATGCTTGTGGACTGACAGTGAGAATGCTGTTCCCCTGTCCTGACAGCTACATGAGTGGGACTGTGTGGAGCAGTGTTACGCAACTGATCAAAGTTAGGAAAGTGTAAACACAACCTGGGACTGGGTGCAGAGACAAACTGTTCAGAGGTTTCCATAATATTTAAACTCAGCTATTAGCCAATAATACCCTTGGCTAAAAGAACAGACATAGTACTAAGCTTAAACCAGTCAATATTATTCAATGTCAAACCTCTCTTTTCTAAAACGCAACTTAATTCTTTATGTGTCAACTAACATTGTACAATTTGCTTAATTTGGAGTCATTTCCATATTCTACTGTTACCACTTGCATATCAGAGAAAGACTTGGTCACACCCTTTCAACATTTCTTCAGTACTCCAAGTCAAAACTTTCTTTTTAAAATTCAGAAATGTAGCCCTATGTCATACTTTACTCCATACAAGTGCCTTCAAATCTTATCCAGGTAGATTCAACATCTTTCCGTATGATTAACAGAAATGTCAAGAGAAAAATAAAATAGTTATCTGTCTCTATGGACTTCTTCTTCCATGGCAAAAATGACAAGAGAAATTGGCTTAGATTATGTACTGTCTGGCTAGAACATCCCTAGGAGGTCCTTAGGCAGGCTTAACATTTGTAGTACTATCTTCTGAAGGCCTATGCAAAATCTTTGCTAGGCTGAAGAAACTAAAGGAGGCAGGTGCTCTGAGTGGTTTTATAACGGGAGGATGGGTGTTTCCAAATTGCAACAGTCCTGCACCAACTGAGGCCCATCATGAATTCTCAGTGTATGTCCAGCAAGCAACTCCAATTGTTTACAGACAAAGCATTTCTCCTTCTGTGTTAGTCTTTGCCACAGGCTCTTTAGTGTGACGGCCACATACATGCCTGCCCTTTAAACTCTACATCAACCATCAGAAAGCATAACCCAGAATGTCCTGCACTAGCTAAAGCAAATAGGGCAGATGAAGCATACCTAGAACGCTTCACACAGGGAAGATAAGTTAACGATAAAAACAAATTTCTTGCAAAAAGAGCATTTTTAGCATCACAAATACCATGTGTTCTATAAAAATACCCCCTCAAAACAATAGCAACCCCAGAAGAATGTGGTTTCATGCCAACTAGCTCAATTCTACTTGCTCACATCTGGTGCCCATGCTGCAAAACAAGTCAAGAGGCAGATAAATAACACCTTGCTTGCTATTCTCCCATGTTGTTTTTGTTTTTGCCGGTCCCTACAATGACAGCTTTACTGTGTTGCTCACTCTGTTTAAGCAATTTACAGAAAATACAATCCACATCTACTAAGCAATAAGTCCCAGTGAGTGAAAGAGCACTAACTCCCAAGTGAAAGTTACTAGGACAACACCATCATTGCTTTTTTATTTTATCATGCCATGTTCTATTTATAATTAAATTAAATTAATTATGGAATTTATATCGGTGTACCACTCTTCCTAATATATATGCCAAGGTGGGATATATATTATGAGGGGTAGTATACAAATGTTCTAACTGTTTGAAAAAATAAATACACCTAATTCTTGTTGCATATACTCTATGGTCTTTGCTACCTCCGCTGTGAAAGAGTGTAGGCACAACTATATTACTTACCGCCCATCAATGGATTTGAGAGGTACATTGGATGAGACTGGCCTTCTGATCCCTGGGATATGCTGGCATCCACATTTGCTCCTTCCATGTCCATCGCAACACTGGACAGTCAGAATACTGTTATTTTACTTCACAGTTGAGATCATGAGAGTTCAAATTCCATCCTGCCTGTTAAAAAAAACCCTCTACGTTCCATGAGTCATGTATTAAGAAGTCTCTGTGCAAGTCAAGAACACTTTGCACAAGACCTGGGCTGAAGTGCCAGCCACAAGTTCACCATAGCTTAAAAGCCTTGGCATTCCAACTTAACAGAACACCTCTTCATTAACGGAGTTAAAAAGTACAAGATGATTTCAGGCACACAGAACAAAGTGAGGGATGTGGCTGATGTCATATCCTTTCCAGAACCATGTCCAATCAGCAAGCTTGCCTTCTGTTTTTATAAGAAAGGAACTTCTCAGTTGCCAAAAACACAAGGCAGAAAGAGCCAGTTTAACTAGCTCAGCAAACTCTGCCTTCAGGGATTTATAACAGAGTGAGGGAGGGGGGAGGGAGGGAGGGAGAGGGAAGCTTTAGTGCTGTCTGTTCTGCCTTTATCACAAGGCACACATTAAGTTGTTTTCAGACATAC